AGGAGGAGGAGGAGAGGAAGGGGGGGGAGGTGGGCTGCAGTGCAATTACACAACTTGCTTTTGATTTATGTCTTAAAATTCTTGCTCAAACTGGTTTGATGACATCGCTCCGTTCGCCCCTCGCTAAAAATCTGATGAAAGGTGAGAGAGTCTCTCCGCCGCTTCGCTTTTTTATTCCTTCAGAGTGCCTCGGAAATCAAACTGGTTTGAGTTTCACCGCGCGAACACACAGTGGACAAACTTTACACTGAACAAAGGAGGCGTGTGTGTCTTTATTACTGATATATGCTTGTGTCCAGACTACTTTAACACACAAAACTTGAAGCATTTTTTCCTTAAAGAGCAGAAAAGAAGAAGAAGAATTAACACATTAAAGCAGTTTAGTAGATAATCTTAATAAAAGCGTCTGTAAAAGACAGATATTTTTTTCCCCAACTGTGCAGCAGAACTAAAGCAATATAACTGAACATTCAGTCTCTAAAGTACGGTTTGAAGTAAAGTAGTGACGTTATTAAAAATCTGTCTTTTGTATTCATGTCGATCACACTACAGAGGGTTAACTGATGTCGTCAAACACATTTTAATTCCCCACACTGGAGCTTTTTAAGCATTATTTAGATTTTGAATCAACGTTTCTTTCATTTAACTGCCTGTTGAAACGTTTTTCTGAGTTAATTACAAAACAAAGTAATGAAACAAGGACTGAACAGCTATCCAAAGCCACGTGTCAAAAGAACAGCTACGTTTATCCTCAACAGTAGAGAAACCACACGAAGAGCTGTCAGCAGACGGAGTTTGAACATTTTTTTAATCTCACCAATAAATCACCAGTAACCTTCACTGAAACATCTGCTTAGATAAAAACAAAAACAAACAATGACCGAACTGTGTAATGTCACGTTTACTGGGCTGCTCTCTGTTGCTGTCACTACTGCTGCGCAGTTAAAAGCAGAAAGTAGTCCCACAGGTTTGCTACACACGTTTCCTCAATAAATAACCAATATATTTTCTTAGAAACAGATTACGACCGAGTAGAACAGCGAGCGTGTGGCGTCTTTGTGGCGTTTGAGAAATGTGAAAAATGTCTTTGGGTGATTGCAAATGTGTTCATTCATTCTGATCACCCGGGCTGGTCGGCTGGTGAATATGAAGGGATTGTGAGGAGCTGTAAAGAGGGCTTGTTGTTACATTCCTGCACTGACCGCAGCAACAAGCCAAGGCTTTCCTTTTCTACAATAACAGCCAATTAATTCTTATGAATCCTCAGACTACTTTACTTATTTGGGACAAAACATTTTGTTTACAGTTCCTGCAGACTCAAACAGCCCAATAAGTGTTAACCTTTGTCCCCTTCAATGCAGTGACTGTCTATATAACCCCACTGTTGCTGCCTACCTGCCTTTATCAAATCACCATCACTAACAAAACAAAAACAAAATCTGTGACAACACTGCAGCTGGGAATTTTTAGTGTTTCTCTGCATGTTTTTGTCCATTTAAAAGCACATATATATACATAATAATTAATATCACAGCTATCTGGGTCCTAAATGTCTTCATCTATTGATACAAAAACAAGAACTAATTCATTTAATCAATTTTCCTCACTGTCTTGCCACAATTAAAGCATGTGTAAGTGTTAATCCTCTCACCTGGAACAAACAAAAAGTTGCGCAATAATTGACACATTTTGCACAATTAGTTTTAAATCAAATGTGAATGTGAACCTGCAGTTGTTTCCTCTCTGAGTGTTGGTACATTGCATTATGTGTGCACAGACAACACAGTGCAACAAAAAAATAAAATAAAAAATAAAACAGCCACTTATTCACAGCATTAAACACGATTAAAATACCTAATAATAACCACGATGGAGATGTGATAATTAAGCGTTACTCACCCTCTCCGCTCGCCCGATGACAGCTCATCACGAAGCAGCAAGCGGTCAAAACAAAACACAAACACAAAGTCCGGAGCCACATAACTGACTCGGGATAAGACACCATCCAGCACTGTTCCCGGGTCAAATACAGAGTAATCCCCGCTGCGGAGGACAGCTCAACCTGGAGGAGAAATACCCTTCAGGAAACTGGTTTTGTTTTGCGGCGTGGGCCAACAGGTAAACAAAAATAAATAAAAGACATCCCGGAAGATGGGCGGAGGAACGAGTCCAACGTGTTCAGTCAAACACGAGCTAACGGCGCTGCTACAGTTAGCCACCTCATGGAAAAAGCCCCGCTGACAAAACACTCAACAATAAGTGCTCTATTTGTGGATTTAACCGAGTTAGTTGGTTAAACCGGCCCGGTTGGGGTTGTCCGTGTCGGGGTGGAAGGGAAGGAGGGAGAAAACAACAACAACAATGACACAAAAAGCCCGGATTTGTTGGTTGAGTTTGAAGCTAACGAACGGCAGTTGGGCTAAGCTAAGCTACGGTTGGGCTAACTGCTCCGGTCCAGGCCACAAGTGAAGTTTGATTTAATTTAATATTTAACTTCACAAAAAAAAACGAAAAAAAAAACTCACAACATTAACCCAACGCAGCTGCAAAAGAACAATCTCTTATACAAACAAAAAAAAATAAATTAATAAAAATAAAATAAAAAAACACCAGACTGCATGAACGGTCGTCTCAACAAGAAAAAAGACTCAACTTAAATTTTTTTTTTTTTACAGGATTTTTTTTTTTTTTCTGCTCTGACTCGATGGTTGTGGCCTGATGGCGTAACGTTTTTATAAAAAATAAAATAAATATAAAAATAAAACAGGAAGAAAAAAAAAAATCCTCAAGTCCTCCAGCGAGCATGAAACATTACTGGACTCGTTTTTGTTTTTTTTTTGCTTGTGGATTAAAAAAAGGTGTTGTTATTGTTTTCCCGTCCCCCTCCTCCTCACACACACACACACACACACACACACACACACACAGTGGATCCACCGAGACA